AAAAGTCAATATTGTAAACATGTTAGTTTTCCTTAAATTAATCTATAAATTCAATGCAACTCAAATCAAAATTTCAGCAGTTTTAATTATGGAAATGGACTAATTCTAAAACTTATAAGGAAATATAAATAACTAAAAATAATGAAGGCAATGTTGAAGAACACAAAGATGAAGGATCTGTACTATCAGATATCAAGATTTGTTTTGTTTTGTTTTGTTTTTTGAGTTGGAGTCTCACTCTGTCGCCCAGACTGGAGTGCAGTGGCCGCTCCCAGCCACTGCAGCCTCGACCTGCTGGGCTCCAGCGATCCTTCCGCCTCAGCCTTCCGAGTAGCCAGAATTACAGGCACGTGCTACCTCGCCCGGTTGATTTTTTTATTTATTATAGAGATGGAAGTCTCGCCAAATTGCCCAGGTGGTTCTCAAACCCGCAGGCTCAGGCAATCCACCCACCTCAGCCTCCCAAAGGGCGGGATTACAGGCTGAGCCACTGAGCCTGGCTTTCAAGATTTGTTATAAAGATATAGTAACCAAGAATGATACTGACACAGGAAAGGCAAATGAAACAATATAAAAGAAAATAAAGTCCAGGAATACATATATTAACATGATTATGTCTTGAAAACACAATTTGAAATGAAAAAAGTTAGTTGCAGAACTGGCTACCAGTTATTTTAAAATTTAAAACAGACAGCAATATTATGTAATGTTTATGTATACAAATCTGCATGGTAAGAAAAGAGCATGAACTTTATGGCTATATATGATATTCATAAGAGTGGCTACCTCTGGAGACAGAGCATCTATAATGCTCTGTTTTATTTTTTTAAATTCTGAAGCTGGTACAATGTACATTATTTGGGTGCTAGATACCTTAAAGCCTTGACTTGACCACTATGCAATCTATGCATGTAACAAAATTGCACTTATATCCCATGAATTTATACAGATAAAATTAAAAGGCAAAAAAATCCTAAAGCAAAAATGACAAAATCTTATGTTAATTCTGGGTATTGGGTATGTGGCTATTTATTACACTTTTTCTCATCATAGTTATTAAAATAATAAGAAAATAGAAGAAGAAAAAGAGAAAGATGAAATGAAATTAGAAAAAAAAAAAAGGAAGAAGCAGCTCTTTATCAATTCTGTGTATTCTAACTCACTAACTTGCAATTTCATCCTGGCCAGGTCTTTCTTTCTGTTTCTCCTAGGTTTATTTTCTTTGTTTCTGATTTTTACAACTGTATATTTTGTTCATTTACTTTCATTCTTTTAGGTCTATCATAATCATATTATTACGCCTATAGAACTTTCTTCTGTGCATTGCTTTATATCCCTTAGATTGTGAAAATGTAATAATCATTAATGTTATTTTTAGATGTTTTATAATATAAATTTTTTATATCCTTTATGACTTGAGTTTTTTGTACTAGTTTTAAAACTTCAATGTGGGAGAGTTTTTGTTTTAATCTCTTATTATAACAATCATATTTAATTGCATTGTAGAAACATCTCATATATAGTTTCCACTTTTTCAATTTTTTGAATTTTATTAAGGCCTAACATGTGGTAACTTTTTAAGTTTATATCATGTCTAAATAAGAAGAACCAATTGTTTCCAGGATAAAAACTATGTTAATCAACTAACTATGTTAATCAATCAGCTCTATCAAATTATTATTGGCAATTACTTTTTTTGTCTACTTCATATGAGCTAAGGCAGACAAAAGAAAGTCTCCTGTTAATATGTTTCTTATTTTTTGTAATATCACTTATAGTGAATTTTGGTGCAAGTTATTTGGTACAGAAATAGCTCTAGCTGTTTACCTTGATTACTGTACCCATCTCATTTTAAAGAACGGATGTTTTTGGTTTTTGTTCTTTTGTTTAAAGCTTACTGTCTTGAATTCTCCTTATCTGATTTTAACACCAAGGCCCCCCTCCCTTTTTTTAACTGTCTGATATGGCTTTGCTTAGACAACGATTAAAACTTCTCTGAGACAAAGGCTTCCCACCTACTAAATGTAAATTTTGGACTAGATATTATCTTAAATTCTCCTTTAATAGTTAATCATTCTCAATGGAAAAGGAAACAGCTTAAGCAATGATAAGATTCTTTAGAGAACTCTGGATTATTTGATGAATTTTGCTCTTCCAGTTATCATATGTTTATTTACTACCTAGAACCCAATCTATAGTTTGCCTCTTCTGGAAATATCAGTTCATATAAAGTTTATGAAGACTAATAAGACACCTAGAAATTTCTGCTGTTAACTTTCTTATCATGGTTAAAGATGATACAAACTATCATTTTCCAAAAATAGAACTATAGCAGTAAGTTTTGATTCTTACCTTTTCCTCAACACCCAGGTATGATGTGTCAATAAGTTCTTTTGATTCAGTATCAGCAACAATTCCTAAATCTCAACTCTTCTATTTCCATTACATGTTTTTAAAAAGTGGAACAATAAAGAATAAATTATGAAACATTTTTTGATACCTGAGAGTCTATTTTAGGGTCTTACAGTACTTGAGGTTTTTCATTACGAATTTAAAAAAAATTTTTTTTTTTTTGAGTTGGAGTCTCACTCAGTCGCCCAGACTGGAGTGCAGTGGCCACTCCCGGCCACTACAGCCTTGACCTGCTGGGCTCCAGCGATTCTTCCGCCTCAGCCTTCCAAGGAGCTGGAACTACAGGCCCGCGCTACCACACCCAGCTAATTTTTTTGATTTACTGTAGAGCTGAGGTCTCGCCAAGTTGCCCAGGTGGGTCTCAGACCCACAAGCTCAGGCAATCCACTCACCTCAGCCTCCCAAAGCGCTGGGATTACAGGCTGAGCCACCAAGCCCAGCTAAAATTATTTTTAAATAGAGACAGAGTCTCACTATGTTGCAGGGGCTGGTCTTAAACTCCTGGGCTCAAGCAATCTTTCCACCTTGGTCTCTCAAAGTGATGGGATTACAGGTGTGAGCCACCACGCCTGGCCCATTATGAATATCAACTGCCACTGAAGAGACAAAACCCAGAATTATCTTTTTAGAGGGCGGGCCCCTTGAAGTACAGGCTGCTAACTAAGTGTTCTAGGAATGTACTGGCATCAGTGTACCAGTTAATGTTGTTCTAAGAGGCTGTGCTTAGCTTCAGAGAATTTTTCTTTTTTTTTGGAGATTCTTTCAATGCATTTGCCCATTTCATTATGGTGATTTATGAGTGTACCTGCCCATACCACATGAGTATTCAGCAGTATTTGACCAAAAAATGGCATGATCTCCATGCTCCACTCTCCCTATTTACCTGATTTCATCCCAAGTAACATTTTTGTTTGTTTGTTTCCCCAGATGAAAAAAAGTCCTCAAAGGGAAACATTTAGCCAATGTGGAACAGCTGAAACAAAAACAGCAGAAGCACTAAAAGACATCCAAGTTGGACTGTAGTTAAAAGATAGGCAAAAATAATGTATGGTGATAGTTGTACAATGGTTATACTTGGGGTGGGTGTAATGACTAGAAATGTACAGAAAGGGTCTTCTGGGGCCTTAGGATAATACCATATTTCTTGATCTAGTGCATCTGCAGTGTTACACAGGTGTGTTCCCTTTGAAAAGTAACTGAGTAAGCCTGAGGAAGAAACTAGAGATATAGATAAGCTGGTAGATAGGGATACATGGTCAAGGAAAGATACATCTTTGCAGAGCAAAGCTTTGAGCTGAGAATGAAAAGGCAGTAAAGTAAGATTGTTCAATATCTGAGAGTACCGGATAAATCTGAAAGATTTCAAAGGAAGTGTAAAGAAAAAAGGTTAAGTTCCAAGGAAAAGGAATTATCTTTGAAGAGGAGGTAGAATATCACTTATTCTGGCCTAATTAAAGAAGAAATAAGGAACTGTAGATTTAATTAATTAAAAACACAAATATTCACAAAAGCCATGTGTAGTAGGTACTATTTGAGGGGCTGGAGATATAGCAGTAAACAATATAAAACATATTCCCTGCTCACATTCCACAGGTTAAGATGATAAGATTTTTTTCAGACTTAGATTGTGGCTTGATCAGCAGCAAGTGCCCACTGAAAAACATAACTACATAGAGTTATTAGAAAGGCACACATTCTACTCCTTCCTTCAGATAGTCTAGTTTTCTCTTTTTAAATTGATGGATGACATGTATAGAATAATATGGTAAAATGGACTAATCTTAAGTGTACAGCCTGATACATTTTTATACATTTATAGGCACGTGCACCTACCAGTCAAGTCAAAATATAGAACATTTTCAACATTCCAGATTTCTTTATGCCTTTTCCCAGTAAATACCTCAGAGGTAACCAGTATTCTGGCTTTTATCACAATCGATTCATTCTGCCAGTTTTCGACTTTATGTAAATGGAGTCATATGAAATATACTTTTTGATTCTGGCTTCTTTTTACTCTGTGTTTGTGTGATCTATCCATATTGTTGTGTATAGCAGTCAACTATTCTTTTTAATTGTTGTATAGTATATCATCATGTGAACTACTATAATTTATATCTTTTTCTGTTAATGTTCGTTTGCATTCTTTCTAATGCTGGGCTATGTTGACAGATACTCTTTGTTTATCCTTGTTCAAAACAAGCCATCAAAACCTAGGTTTATCAATTATAAGAAGTCATACCATAATATTTTTACAACCAAGGTGCCAATGGAAAGCTAATTTCTGTTAGGAAATGTTTATTTTTTATCTTTACATACAATGAATATGATGTAACAAGTTTCTGCTCTGGTTTGGTTTACCTATAAAAAAAAAATTCAAATTTGAAGCCTAATTTTAATCTCTTTGAATGAATGTGTTTCATAAAATAACCACATTTTAACTCTTCCTATTTTAACCTTCCAATTATATTTCCTCTGAAAATATGTTTGTGTATATATAGGCCCTTCTAATTTATTGTATAGATGACCACAATCCTCTTAAATTAAGATATAGAATAAGGCAAGAAAAAAATACACTATTTAATATTTACCTGAGACTCAGTCATTTTCTCTTCTTTCTGGAAAGGGACAGCGCCTGAGGAGGTAGAGCTGGGGAAGAGAATGAAATTAGAATGGGTTTGTCTTATAGTTTCAGAAACCTAGGTCACCCTGTGGCAGAAAGATACTTAGAAAGGCCAAGAATATTTACACCACAAAGGTGGAATAGGTGTAAGGATGACTGCTGTGATCACATAAAGCTGAGGCATAGGGTGTATAGGAACAACTGCATATGGGTGAGATGTCCCATGAATTTATAATAGCTCTGTATTAGAGAATATATATAACTTAATGAAAGCATAACCTTAAGAAAATTATGAAGCTGACAAAACACCTAAAGAATTTTGATGTACTGAGACATTTAGGAAATAAATAATTAAGCAGACATTAAATAAGAATTTAAAAGGTGACATAATTATATTTTGCGGAAAAAATGAAAAGTTTGTGTGTATAATGTGTATCAGAGGTATTGAGAGTTAGGGTTAGGGTTAAGCTCTTACTTTCCATAGAAAAAAACCTAAAACTGAAACGTGTTAAATAATAGCAGGATAAGCATATAATTTAGAAAAGTGAAGTAAGTACAAGTAGTCACAGATGAGAGTTGAAAGCAGTCTCTCTAGGAACAAGGATTAGGAAAAGGAAAAAAAAATCTATAGGATACAGTTGTTTATTATTGTTATTATTATCATTATGAGACTAGCAGTACTATTTGTTTTTTTAAAACAAAATTCAGTGTTGCCAAAATACAAATTTAATGAAGAAAGTACATATCATTGCAACAGATCTGAGCAATACTACAGTGTAGAAGGAAGAACACAGTTGTGCTCCCCCATGCACATCTCATTTCCCAGATTTAATTTGATTTAGGAAAATTTAACTGTTACTTTACTGTCTAGCTTTTTTTGTTGTTGTTGCTATTGGCCTGTTCTAATTTATTTTTGTCACTATTTTGAAGTTTTTCTTAAAGAATCTTTTAAAAGAAACTTTAGGTCACATAAATTATAGTACGAAAGAGCAAGGAGATTTGCCTGCTAGTCCTCCTTCGGCCACTGATAAGCACTGTAACCCTGAGAATTCTGCTTTCTTAGAACCATTTATAACCACATTTAAAGGGACAGGAGAATATGACAGTTTATAAGCAGCTGCACCAGCACTGTGAAGTTCTGTAAGGGAAATGTATTATCTCACTAAGGAAAGATAATTAGTATGTTCCTAGAGGCCATATGTAGCAGACACAGACAGTTACTGCCTAAAAATAGCCATTGCTTCCACCTTATTACTTGAAAACTATATCTCAGTTTTATGAGAGTGAGAATGTGCCTTCTCCCAGGGATGAATCATGATCAATCTAGGTCAGTGAAGGTAATCCCATTCCACTTTGCCAGTCACTCACTTTACCAGCATTCCTTGAAGCTAAGAGTTACCATGTGACACAGTATATAAGTCAATAGGAGTTAATAAGATTTCTACTGGGGGTAGAGGTTATGGAAACATTTGTTTTCTGATTTTAGAAAAAGCATAGGCATTAGGATAAAGCTCAACTCCTTCTTCTTAACTTGTACAAGGATATGATGCCTGGCCTGGATATTTGGCAATCAGCTTTATAACCTTGAGGTGAGAAGCATGAGACTAAATAGTGATCAGTTAAATATGATGAACCACAACACAGAACAAGTCTAGGTTTGACGTCACAGGAAGACACTGAAACAGTCTGCAATCTTACTTCTAGTCCTCTTATTAAGTGAGATAATAAATGTTTTTACTGTTTAAGCTATTATGATTCAGCCAATAATAATAATAATTCTAAGTACAATGACAAGTTTGGTGGCAAAAATGGTGCAAATCTCAAACTTAAATGATCCAATGGGGAGAAGTAATTAACTGCACATACAAGAGGAAATAACTGAATTTTCTCAGGTGTCATTGTTGATCCCTTCCTATGCTCTATTGCAATGTCCTTTCATCTCCCTCCACTCATCCAGCTTACCTCATCTCTAAGCAAGCTCACTTCCCTTCTAAAGAAAACTGCGGGCATGCCCTCTCATGTAAAAACACGCACCAATACTTATTTCTGTATTTACCTATCTGTAAGTACGTATGCATGTGTCTATATACACAATTTGTTTATGATATTTGTACATGTGATATGTTGTTACTTGCATAGAATATGTGATAACTGAGTCAGGGTACTTGGGGTATCCAGTACCTCAAGTATTTTTAAATATATTTTTCATTTCAATAGCTTTAGGGGGTACAAATAGTTTTTGGTTACATGGTTACATTGTACAGTGGCAAAGAAGTCTGGGTTTTAAGTGTGCCCACCACTCCTGCCTGTGGCCACTGTACCTGATGATAGGTAGGTGATTTTTCCTACCTCTACCTCTCTTTCTCCTCCCCCTTCTGAGTCTCCAATGTCCATTATACCACTCTATGCTTTTGCAGATCCTTAGTTCAGATCCCACTTATAAGTGAGAACAGCAGTGTTAGGTTTTCTGTTCCTTAGTTAATTCACGAAGAATAATGTTGTCCAATTCCATCCAAGCTGCTGCAAAAGACATTATTTCATTCTTTTTGATAGCTGAATAGTATTCCATGGTGTATATATACCACATTTTCATTATCTACTGATCAGTAGTTGGGAATTTGGATTGATTTCACATCTTTGCAATTGTGAGTTGTGCTGTGAAGAACATGTCAGTGCAGACCTCTTTTTTACATCACAATCTCTGCTCCTTTGGGTAGATACCCGGTAGTGATATTTCTGGATCAAATGGCAGATCTACTTGAAGCTATTTGAGAAATCTCCATACTGATTTTCATAGAGGTTGTACTAATTTACACCCCCACAAACAGTGTATAAGCATTCCCTTTTCTCTGCATCCACACCAGTATCTATTGTTTTTTAATAAGAGCCATTCTAGTACAAAGTGGCATCTTATTGTGGTTTTAATTTGCATTTTTGATGATGAATGATGTTGAACATCTTTTCATATGTTTGTTGGCCATTTGTATATCTTCTTTGGAGAAATGTCTGTTCCTGTCATTTGCCCATTTTTTATTTTTATTTTTTGAGTGGAGTCTCACTCTGTTGCCCAGGCTGGAGTGCAGTGGCACACTCACAGCAACCACAGCCTCAACCTGCTGGACTCAGGTGATCCTTCTGCCTCAGCCTTTCAAGTAGCTGGAACTACAGGCATGCATGACCATGCCTGGACAACTTTTTGATTTATTGTAGAGATGAGGTCTCACCAAGTTGTCCAGACTGGTCTCAAACCCGTGGGCTCAGGAAGTCCTCTCAACTTGGCCTCCCAAAGTATTGGGATTATAGGTATGAGCCACACACCCAGCCTTGCCCACTTTTTAATGGGGTCATTTGCTTCTTTCCTATTGATTTGTTTGAGTTATTTGTAGATTCTGGATGTTACTCCTTTGTCAGATGTATAGTTTGCAAATATCTTCTCTCCTTCTGTAGGTTGTCTATTTACTCTATTGATTATTTATTTTGCTGTGCAAAAGTTTTTGAGTCTAGTTAAATATCACTTTTTTTTTTTTTTTTTGAGTGGGAGTCTCACTCTGTTGCCCAGACTGGAGTGCAGTGGCCACTCCTGGCCACCGCAGCCTCAACCTGCTGGACTCTGGCGATCCTTCAGCCTCAGCCTTCCAAGTAGCCGGAATTACAGGCATGCGCTACCACGCCCGGCTGATTTTTTGATTTATTGTAGAGAAGAGGTCTCGCTGCCCATGCAGGTCTCGAACCCGCAGGCTCAGGCAATCCACTCACTTCAGCCTCCCAAAGGCGCGGGACTATAGGCTGAGCCACCGAGCCCAGCTAGTTAAGTACCACTTACTTATTTGCTTTTGGACTTTTAAGCCATAAAGTCTTTGCCTAGACAAATGTCCACAAGAGTTTTTCCTAGCTTTTCTTCTAGGAGTTTTATGGTTTCAGGTCTGACACTTAAGTAATTAATCCATCTTGAGTTAACTTTTGTATATGGGGAGAAATAGGGATCAAGTTTCATTTTCTGAATGTAGCTATCCAATTTTCCCAGCATGATTTGTTGAATAGGGTGTCCTTTCCCCAGTGTATGTTTTCTCAAAAATCAGTTGGGTGTAGGTATTTGGATTTATTTCTGGATTCTCTATTCTGTTCCATTGGCCCACATGTCTGTTTTTGTACCAGTATCATGCTGTTTTGGTTACTACTGTCTTGTGGTATAATTTGAAGTCAGGTAATGTAATACCTTCAGCTGTGTTATTTGTGATTAGGATTGCTTTGGCTATTCTGGCTCTTTTTGGCTTCCATATGAATTTTAAGATTTTTTTTTTTCTAGTTCTGTGGAAAATGGTGTTGGTAGTTTGACAGGGATTGCATTGAATCTGTAGATAACTTTGGTAATATGATCATTTTAACAATGTTGATTCTTCCAATCCATGAGCATGGGATGTTTCTCCATTTGTTTGTGTCTGTTACAATTTCTTTCAGTGTCTTGTAGCTCTCCTTGTAGAAATCTTTCACCTCCTTAGTTAAATACATTTCTAGGTATTTTAGCTTTTTGGTTACTATTGTAAGTGCAATTGAGTTCTTGATTTGATACTCAGTTTGGTTGTTATTCATGTATATTAGTGCTACTAATTTGTGTGTGTTGACTTTGTATCCTGAGATTTCAGTGAATTAATTTATCAAGTCCAAGAGTCATTTGGAAGAATCTTTAGGATTCTCTAGGTATACAATCATATTGTCAACATATAGAGATAGTTTGATTTTTTTTTCTTTTCCAACTTGGATACTCTTTATTCCTTTCTCTTGTCTGATTGTTCTGGCTAGGACTTGCAGTACTATATTGAAAAGAAGTGGTAAAAGCAGGCATACTTAGCTTATTTTAGTGCTGAGGGGGAATGCATTCAACTTTTCTCCATTCAGGATGACAATGGCTGTGACTTTGTTGTATACAGTTTTTATTATTTTGAGGAATGTTCCCTCTATACCTATTTTGCTGAGGGTTTTTTATCATGAAGGGATTCTGGATTTTACCAAATGCTTTTTCTACATCTATT